AAATCTGAACTTGGGGGAAGGTGAAATACTTCTTGAAGCAGTGAGTGTACACTCCATGCAGTCCCAGCAGTGTATCACAGTCTGTTCTAATAATCTCAGGGCTCTGAAATTTCTTATGCTTTGAATGTCAAAGCCTGGAACACTGCTCTTGTTCCACTGCTTTGTGGCACCTCTAAAACCACATTTGTCAGGGATTGAGTGAGTATGTGCCAGTAGGTCTTTAGTGTATCCAATGAAGCACTAACCAGTGCGTGTAAGGGGAATACCATTTTATATTGTGAGATGAACAGCAAAACTTAGGGTACTAACCCCAGACAAAACTGACTTTGGGACCTAATTCTGCTCTGGAAAAAACCCCAGGTGCTTCACCTGGTGTGCACTTCTGGGGACTGCTAGTCTTTACTGATGGGTGTTTTTTCTTTTCTCATTTATTCAGGATATACGACTCAAATCCTGAACAACCAAATATATTCCAGGTGGAGCAGCTGGAGCGTCTCAAGAAAGAGCTGCCAGAGTTCAAAACCTGTGTGTGCCCCTCAATTAACCACTTCAAATGCCCTCATGGTTACCTGGAAGAGAAAGCTGTAGATAACCTGAAAAGTGTTCAGATGCAAAAGGACTCAATTTAGGCAGAATGCTGTTGTATCTATTAAATTTTCACCATTGGAATAGTTCTGTCTATGCTTTCAGGTTGGTTTGTTTTAGTTTTTAGTCTTCAGATAGCAATAACTGTGTTCCTCCTTCCTAACAGTACTTAGTAAAATTTGAAATAATGTTAAAATATTCAGCCAGTTATTGTACCAATTTACATATACAGTTTTAACTTTTTCCTCACATCATATCAAATCTTGAAAAAGAAAATTATTATTATTATATTATTTTGTTTTTAAAAAACCCAAAAAATTATTAAGCAGTCTCAGTAGTGACAGCTCAGAAACTAAATTGTAGAGAAATTACAATAATCTGATATTGAATATGTTGAAAATTTGTTTTGATTTTACTTCTAGGCTGACAAGCTGTAGCATTTATCTGGCAGCAGGAAATGGAGTGATTTTAAGATACATATAAATAGATCTGGCCTGTAAAAAGATCTGAACAAACTGGTACCTCCTGTATATGTATTTGCAGTGGTAGCTCCTCCTGTTCAAAGCTTCATGCCATTTTAAAATATTTTATTTTTTAGCAAACTGCAGCTCATTTTCCCCCACTTCATTGGACATTCAGGCTGCTGCCTTTGTTTTCTCAGCCCCAGCTCAGTGGTACAGCAATCAGGGGGGAACCACGAGTACAGGTTTTTAATTTTCATTTTTTCACAGGCCTGCTAAACTTTAAAAATGTTGCTAATAATCTTAACAGAATTAGAGAAACATCTTCAGTGGCTGAGAATCTTTTTTGCACAGTAACCTTAATGAACAGAGTATGTAACCTGCACAAACTCTACAAAATGCATGCTTTATCTATTAAGCATGAATTTTAGGTGTTTGCTGAGGTCCTTGCATCTTTATGGTGCTAGTTATGTGTGAAGGGTGCAAGGACCAGCTCAACAACTTAATCTCCTTTGCCTGAGAAGCCACAAGCCTGTTATTCACAAACCTTTGGAGAAGAGGCTTTGCCATACGTGGTTTGTCTTATTTACATAATGCAAGCTACTAGCTTTTGTATTTGGCAACATTTTTGGCTTTTATCATCACAAATGTACTGGATTCAGATAATCAGTATTCTGTTGGCTGGTATCTCTCCTCTGTAATTTATTACAAAGTCATAGTTTAGAGTTCTTAATAGATAAGTATGCATGTCCCTTCTTCTCCTGATGTTGCAGGTCATGCCAACACGACAGCTGTAACTTTCTACTGAAATGTTAATGTATAATAAGAATGGAAGATATTTATTTTTTTTTCTGTTGTAAATTGACAATGAAAACAATAGTATGTACTATATTCTTTATATACAGTCATTGCTACATATAGAACTGATTGTACAAAGTAAAGCCATTGCAAATAAGTGCTTGAGCCTGCACTGCTGAGCAGTTTGAAACAGCTTGTTTTGATTTGTGCTTTTTAGTATTTAAAGTTTGTCGTGCACAAATGGCACAATAGTATTAGGTAACTGGAAGCCTTCTTTTATTTAAAAAAAAAAAATCAAAAATACAAAACAACCCTAAACCAAAACTGGAAGTGTGTGTGAGCTGTGTTTTTGAGAAGGGGAGGGGGTAGTGAACCAGAATCTTGGCATCAGGTTACATGATACATTCCTCTTTATGTGATTAATTCTTTTTTTATTTTTTATTTTTCCTCCTCTGTGTACCCTGTGGGATCCTCCTGACAGGTCTTGAAGCAGAGTTTGTGTCACTGCCTGTGGAAGCTGAGCAGCACATCCCCAGGGGTGCTGAGACACGGTTCTGTGCAAAGGGGGTTTAAAAGCTGTGCTGTGTGAGCACCCCTCAGACTAAGCCCAGTGAGATGCTCAGGAGGGCTTAGGCACCCTTAAAATCTTCTTTCCAGCCTTCAGGGCTCAGGGAATGGTCCTTGCCTGTTGTGTCTCGGGTGGGTGGGGGTGGAAATAAATCCAGCCACTGTGGTGATTTTACAGGCAGTTTTGAGCAGCGTTAGTGTCGGTGTTTCCTTGCTGACTCCCTTTTTTCTGAGGAAATTGTGTCAGCAGCTTCCTGCAGACCTGAGGAGCCTCAGCAGCTCCTGCTGTGCCCGTTCTGGGAGCTGAGCTCACAGCTTGGGCACGCTGAGCAGCTCTCACTCAGCCTCTGGCATTGCAGAGGGGACAGAAGGGACCAGAGAGCAGCAGTTTGGCATCTGGCAGGGAAAGCTGCCACCTCCTGCTCTGGGTGCTTGTTGGAAAGATGCAGAGATGGCTTTGCTCCAGCCAAGGGACTGCTGCAGAATTTTAATCCAGAGATCTGTGAGCTGGAGTAGGGGAGACAGAATTTCTGTCTTGGTTATGGAACATTTCCTTCTGGAGCAGCCAAAGACTGGGCTGTGCATCTGTAGTATTGGCTGCTGAACGACACTCCCACATGATGCCTGTGTGTGGATATATATGTATATATATATATATATATTTATGTATGTACCTGGGCATGACAGAGCTGATGTGTTACCATATGCAGTGGCAGTTTCCACCTAGGAAGTTTTACCTCCAAAATTTCTCCAAATAACTGGGCCTTCATGTGTTTTCAGTCACACAGATCTTGTACCTTAACTGTAAATATGCAGCAAAAGTCTCGGTCACAACTTTTGTCTCCCACATTTGTCTCACCTGTGGAATCACACCCCACATCCTGGAGTTCTGCACTTTCCTTCTCAGCTGCATGCATCATATCAGCCTCCCAGAGCCCAGCTTTGAAACCTTAAACAGCCAGCTACTGCTTCCATACAGTTCCTGGGGAAAAAAGTAGCCCTGGCCTTCCCCTTCCCCTGCCTCTTGCAAACTGCACCACATGCAGGTCTTTGCTCGCTCTTCTCTCTGTGTGTGTCCAAAATTAAAACTCCAGCAGCTGCTCCCACAGAGAAGGTCCTGGAAGAAAGAGCTGGTGCTGGCCTGTACCTTTCTTTTGTAACCTGTAAACTGCACTGAGGTGATTCCCTCCTTCAGGGTCCAAACCTGAAGCCCTTCCCTACTTGCTCCCACTGAAGGTGCCAGGACAAAAAAGATGTTGGCTTTACCTTCCCACTGTCAGCACTCAGAACTGCACCCTGTGTGCTTCCTAGACAATTAAATGTCCTGTGATGCTGCCTCAGAAACCCAAAGGGCAGAGCTGAAGCCAAAAGTGTTTAGACCCTACTGGCAAAATGTGCCGGGACAAAAAGAAATACATTTATTCTGGGAGGCCAGCAGCTGTCCCCAGGGTTCCTGGGGGAGGTCAAGGCCAGCACCTGCTTGGTTTCATGGCACTGCCCGAGTGGGAGCAATGCACTCCCACAGCCCTGCACCAAAATTTGGATGCTGCCTCCAGTGTTGAGTGCATCCACCAGGGACTGCTGTAACACAGAAGTTCTCTCCAACGAGCTGTGCTGGTTTGTACCTCCCCGGGGCAGCATCTCCTGCGCCACCACCAATGGTGGGGTGCTTTCCTTAGCAAACAGAGGCATCCTCATCCTCTTTCTGGAGCTCACCTCCAGTGTTTGGATACCGGCTCCAAAGCTGTGTGTGCCCAGGGATCTCTTTCACAGAAACCCTTCCAGAGCAGAAAACTCTTCTTAGTGGTTTGTACCTCCCTAGGCAACCCTGTCATATCATCCTTTTCTTGGCCAGCACCTGACAAGGACAAGGATGAATAAATGAGTGCTTTATTTAAATTGATAATGATTAGGTGAAAATGTAAAAAGATAAAAATGCAAAATGGCAAACCAACAAGCTGATCAGAGTTATTTACTACACAGTAAAGCTGCTCTGTTTGTTGCACCAGTAACACAGCCAGCTCAATAACTATCAAAAAGAGGTTGATGTTACCCACCCATGTCACTGACCATGGGCAAGTCTCTCCCTCAGCCTCCAGAGCTGTCCCTGAGGGGTGTTCCCACCCAAGGCAAGGATCTTTGTGCTTCTAAAGGAGATAAACTGGGAAAACTGGGACTGATCTTTTGTAGTATGAAGAGTTCAATTGTCCTGCAGTTTTTAGATTCTATGTTGTCCTCAGCAGAACACGTTGCAGTCAGATGTCACCAGCTCTTTGGTTTCTGCTCAAAAGTTCCATCTCTCACTTCCCCACTGGGCTCTTCCACGTCCCTGTTGGTGCCCACCTCAGTTGGGAGGAGCACCCTCAGGAAGGGCCCAATTTAAGAGAGTTTGGTCAAGCTGGTCTCATCATTCTTCACCACTGAACCCCCTGGTTTTTCATCCATGACCAAAATTTTGTAAATAAGACAAAGAAGGGGTTCTTTAAAGCTGTGCCAGCCCTTCCAAATGGAACAGCACCAGTGCCCCTGCCCCTCATCATGCAGTTGCTCATTCCTCACAGCAGTCCCAGGAACAGGAGAGCTTCGTGTCCATCCCTTACAGAGACTGTGAGACCCCTCTGGAGCTGTGTCTGTGTCCCGGCTCCAATGCCTGCATTCCCACTGCTCCCAGCTCTCCCTCTTTGCTGACTGGTTTCTAGGTCTGCCTCATATCCGAGTTTTCATCCTTTAAGTGTAGCTGTGTCACCTTAGGGCAAATGGAATCTCACTGGAGGAGTGGGAAATCAGATGGATACAGCAAAAACTCTGCTACCTTTGAAGAAGTCATGAAGGTCAGCATGAACTCTGTGTTTAAGTGAGAAAAGGCCTCCAGAAGAAAAAGATGGCATTATCTACTTGGATGTTTTTGCTTCCATGGAGTGGAAATAAGAGAGCTCAAGGTCTGGGTAAGAGGCATCCATCCCACCCCTTCCCTGCCCCACCAGCTCTGTGGTTCTGTGCTTGCTCTGCCATGTAACCCTGCCTCTCACTTCATCTGCTTGTTAAAAGCTTTTCCCCAATTTTTCCAATGTTGCCACCTCCACTCATCTGTCTCATTGCTTTCTCCAAGGGACAGGTTTTACCCTGTCTTCCTTTCTCAAAGAAAGATCTTTCTCTGCACTTTTTGGCCTCAGCTTCTGGAATTCTGTGGTTTTTGCTGTGTGCCCAAGTGTATTAAAAAGGAGTAAATATTCCGTATGAAGAAGAGGAATGACTTGCTGCAATGGACTACAGACAAAAAGGTAAAATTAAAGAAATGAAACCGCTTGGGAAGTCTCATTGTTTTGGGTCATTTGTGTTACCTTGGCATTCCCAGTCTCTCTCATGGATGATGGAGGCGGTTTGCCCTGCAGTTTGATTGCCCCCTTGCCTGGATGTCTGTGGCACATTTCTAGGTGTCACATCCTGGCCTGCCGTGGCCACCAGCCACCCTCGTGTCCTCTGCTGTGACCACCTCATGTGCGGGGGCCACTCGCCGAGCAAATCAAAGGGGACACGAGGCTGTGCAGGTGGGTGGCACAGGTGTCCCTGCTGCCCTGGCTGCCACCCCAGTGCCACCCAGCCCTGCCCAGGCCCTGTGGCACTGTTGGGCACAGGTGTCCCTGCTGCCCTCGCTGCCACCCCAGTGCCACCCAGCCCTGCCCAGGCCCTGTGGCACTGTTGGGCACAGGTGTCCCTGCTGCCCTCGCTGCCACCCCAGTGCCACCCAGCCCTGCCCAGGCCCTGTGGCAGCTCTGCCGAGCGGGGACGCCCCGGGCAGGCTCCGCATGTCCCCACGGCTCCCATGTGACTGCGGGTCACAGCGGCTGGCCACACCTGTGCCACTCACAGCTGCCTTCATCTGTCAGCAGGAAGCAGCGAGGAAAGAATCCCGGGCAGGAAGGGCAGAAAAGAGGAAGAAAGGAGAGCAGGAAGGGCAGGAGAGGAGGAAGACAGAGAGGGAGAGGTGAGGAGGCTGCATTCGGCACTGAGCAGCAGAGAAGGCGACACCAGAGGCTTCCGATGTCCTCCTCGACTTCCAGCAGCACCCTGCCCAGCGGCCTGGCCGTGCTGAGCACCTTCCCAGATGTGCTCTTCATCCCTGAAATCGTGAGTGCTGCCTTTGCCCGGGGGGAGGCCGTGCTGCTGGCTGGGCACAGGTTACGCTGCAGGTGTCCGAGGGTGGCACTTGTCCCCAGACACGCCGGGTCCCACAGGGGGCTGGGGGCAGCTCATCCTCAGAGAAAGCCACGGGCTCTGAGCCCTCCTTTAGTCTGCAGTGGGATTTTTCTGGAGCCTTGAAACACGCCGTAATTCCCGCCTGAAAAGCCATCAGGGGCTGCAGGGGGGTGAGCAGGTTGCCAGGTGGAGCTGGGGGTTAGCCAGGGTGGTTTTGGCGGCCAGCACGGGCAGGGATGAGCAGGGACCGGGCGAGCTGCAGGATCCGAGGCTGTGCTGCTCCATCGCGGCGTTCCTGAGCCGGGCCCTGGGCGTGTGGCTGAGCCAAAGGTGAGCAAACACCTTGGAACTCCTTTCCACACCGCGACTTTATGGGGCAGCAGATCGTAATCTTAACGGATTTGCTCTGAGCGTGGGTTATGAGAGACAAAGTCTCAGCCTGAACTTTTCCCCCCAAGTCCTCTGCCCCACTTGAAACGTGCTGTTCTCACAAGAGCCCGGAGGCTTTTTCCAAATTCTGAGTGCTTTGGTCCAGCACTGAAAGCTCTGGCTGAGTATTGTAGGATGGCTGGGCTCCCCTGACAGGGGAAACCCTCCTGGAGCAGTTCTGTGTCAGGAAAAGGAGACACACAGGACTTTTCTTGCTTTATTGTTACCTTATCAAATCTTCAGCACGCTGTCTGCACCAGACTCTGTGTGCAGGAAAGCAGCACAAAAATGGGCAACAACCTCGTGCTGCAAGGCCTTTTAAGCCTAAGCTAAAACTAAGTTACCCAATTAAGAAGTGACACCTGGATTATTTCCCTTCTAATTCAATAACTGACCCCTAAAGACCCACAATGAGGATTTTTCTATCCAATGACAAGATCCCACCCATGAATAAGAGTCAAAGTCAGTGCTTCCCTGGGAATCAGAGCACTCCAGGGCAGACAGAGAAATATTCTCCTTGCCTTGGCTTTCCACATTGTAGGATGGCATTCAGATTATTTCATGCTAAAAACCTCAGCTTTTCCATTTGGCACCAAATCCTTTCTTTTTGGGATTTATGGAATTTCCTTTGCTCTCCTGGGGATAACAGTGTAGCAAAGAGGATGTAGCCCTCCAGTCGTGCTCTGCAGACCTGGTCTCTGCCCCAGAGCAATGCCCAGGTTTCCTGCAGCTACAGGAAGGAGAATCTTAAGTGCCTGTGGAGGTTTTGGCTGGGCAGACACTTGCCAGTGTCTGAGTTATGTTAGCGCTGTTGGCCTCAGCGAGTTTATTCCCCTGGAACTGTTTGTCTCCAGGGGATTTGGCAGGGCAGCTTGCTGAAAGGAGCACCCTCTCCTTTGGTTTGGCTAAGATCTGGAAATGTGCATCCTGAAGGCCCAGGAAGGAGGAATGCTGCATGACTGGATTTCTCCATCTCCAGGCAGATTCTGGGCTGTGCTGCTGTGACCTCTGCTGTGTACAAAGGAGGTGGCTGCCTTGAATCAGAGGGATAAAGAGTTTCTCATTCCTTGGTGGGATCTCAGGCTGCCTCCCATGGGCTGAGATGGTAACATAACAAAACAAAATTGGCATTTCAGATGCCAAAAGGCGGTTGTGAAATTTTCAGAAGATCCTACCTGCAGCTCAGACAATTGCCACATTAGCACGGGCTGATCAAAAGCTACCATTTTTAATCTGTGAGGCTCAGTTTAATTCTTGTAATCTATTTAATTTGAAGAACATTCTGCACATGTGGATACCCAGACCTATGTGGAAAACCTGGGACAAACTGAAAGCAGACATGTTTGCTTTGTAAAGCTGTTTAAAGGATGGACTTTTTTCTTAGACTGCTGTCCACATCCTGCTGTTAGTTACTGAAAGCCTCTCAATCCTTCCTCCCTTTTTATGAATCTTCACCATAAAACCAAAGTCAGTAATCAAACCATGTCAAACAGACTTTTCTGAGTGGGTAGCCACAGCCTGCAGGAAGGAGAGATGGTGAGTGGTAGGAAGTGAGCTGTGGTGCCCAACCTTGTATCTCGTTTTAATGGAGCAGCCGTAATGCTTTTCCCCAGGATTTTTAGCTGCAACCCACTCATTGTGCCAGCACATGAGTGATTAAAAGGACTGGATTAGTGTTCAAGTTGTTATGAGAGGAACTAGAACAGCAGCACTTTGGAAGAGCCATTTTCACTCAGGTCTTTGCCACATCTCGACCACATAACTGATTTAATGTGTCAATTTGCATAATGGAACCAACAAACTTTCCTACAACTGTGGGGTGACACAAACGATGTAACATTTTCTGAGTTATCATAAATCAGAGACTTCCTTTCCACTTGCAAAATGCCTGCAAGGAAATGGAAGTGGAAATGAGTATAGCTGGCACTGGGATGCTGACACTGGCCATACAAGGGTCAGAATGAACTTGGGGTCAGCAAGGCTCTCCTCCCTCTGGACATCTGCCTGAATCCCAGACTGGCTGGTGGTGAGGGATAGGTCCCCACAACAGCACAGGTCCACACTGTGGGCTCAGCTGTGCAGCTCCTTATCACAGGATGTTGCACAGACTGAGCTTTGCACAGGTCCAAGAACAACAGGACTGATTTGTGGCACAGAAAAGCTACTGAGGGCATTTCAGTGCAAAGGCACCACTTGCACTCCAGACATTCCACGACACTGAACATCATGCCCCCATCCTCTTGTGCAGGAGTCTGCTGGTGAAGGGATGGAGCCTGGGCATAGCTGTCCCTGTGTACCACCAGAAAACCCATGGCAAACTCCCAAGGCTGGCTGAGAAGGTCGCACCTGCTCCCACACCAGCAGCTGGCACCAGGCACAGCTGTGGTGCAGCCAGTGAAGGATGACCCAAAGAGCTGGAGCAGCAATGCAAACTCCCTTTCTCATGGAGCTGGGAGCCTCTGGCTCATTTCCCCCACCCAGGGAGCCAAACCTCTCCTCAGCCTGTTCTCTCCTTTCACAGTGATGCTTGCATGTGGCCTTTGTGGGGCAGGTGCCATGCTGCCTGTGCAGGTGAGCTGGGTTTGACACTGCTCCTGGCAGGGATCTGACACACTGGGTGTGAGGCAAACACCCAGTGGCACCAGTGAGGAATTATTTCTGGGTCAGGATCAGTGGCAGATGCTCCCAGCTGGATGTCCATTTTCCAGTGGAGGCCGGGGAGAACTCGTGGGCCTCTGCCATGAGTGGCTTTTGGCTCTGCTCTGGACAAGTCACTCTATCCTGCACTCACCCTGTCCCCCACTTTGACTTGCAGATCTTTGGGGGCCTTGTGTGGATCCTGGTGGCATCCTCGAAGGTCCCAGAGCCCATGCTGCAGGGCTGGGTGATGTTTGTCTCCGTGTTCTGCTTCGTCATGTCCATCTCCCTGCTGTGCCTCTACGTCTGCGGGGCTCACGGCGGCGGCGGCTGCTGGGTCACCTTGGTACGTGCCCGTGACAAAGGAGCTGGCTTTGTCACCAGTGAGGTGCTGCTGCTGCACTGCAGCCTGGGGACGGTGCGTGCTGCCCTCGGAGGTGACTCTGTGGTCCTTGTTCCTCAGGATGTGCTCTGCCACGGGACAGCAGCGCTGTTCTACCTCAGCGCCGCGGTGCTGGAAGCCTACAAGACCTACACCCTTAGGTTCTCGTCCCCGGGGCAGGAGTACAGGGAGAACATCGCTGCCGTGGTGAGTGCCTGGCAGGAGGGTGAGGTGCCCCCGGAGCAGCCTCAGGTGCCCATCTGTGTTTGCACCAAGGCCGGGGAGGGGCAGGGACACCCGTCACCGTCCCCAGCCCTGACAGCTCTGTTCTTCCACCACAGGGGTTTGCCTTTGTGCCACCCAGCCCTGACAGCTCTGTTCTTCCACCCCAGGGGTTGGCCTTTGTGCCACCCAGCACTGACAGCTCTGTTCTTCCACCACAGGGGTTTGCCTTTGTGCCACCCAGCACTGACAGCTCTGTTCTTCCACCACAGGGGCTTGCCTTTGTGCCACCCAGCCCTGACAGCTCTGTTCTTCCACCACAGGGCTTTGCCTTTGTGCCACCCAGCCCTGACAGCTCTGTTCTTCCACCACAGGTGTTTGCCTTCGTGGCCACCCTGCTGTACGTGATCCACCAGGTGTTCTCGCTCCTGCGCTGGAAATCGTCCTGACAGCCTGACCTGCCCCCGGGACAACTGCTGCCCTCTCCAGCCTGGGTTTGGGGTTTGTTTTTTAATGTATAGCCTAGAAGCAAGCAGCTTTTTATGTGGGATCTTGGTGATGAAGACAAGGAGCCTGCCAGAAAAAGGAATATCCTGGCACAATCTGTTTCCCTTCAATATCTTACAGGCTGGGTACAGTTTGATGCTGGGGCCAAAACGAAAAAAAAAAAACCAAAAAAAAACCAAAAACAAAACAAAAAAAACCATCCAGCTTTAAAAATCATAGTATAGTTGGGTTCAAAGGGCTAAAATATCCCTGGACTGCACCTTTATGTGTCCAGGGTTGTTACTGGTATCAGGGGAAAAGTGAACAACAAACACCAAGGAGCACAAATGTGAAACTGTGTCATTCCAATTGCTCTGTGCCCATTTAAGTCTGTTTCCCCGCTAAAACTGCTGTACAAATTAATATTTTCATGCAGCTTCTGCAAATGCCTTCTCTGACTTGCAATGAGCAATGGGAACAATGTTTAACTCTGCTCAGGAGCAATGCGGACCACTGCAGCTCCTGAAGGGTGCTGCTGAATTCTGAGGCACAGCTGTAAGGCCAGGAGTTCCCACTGCCCTGGACCCCTACAAAGCAGAACCTGGAAGGGGCCCAGTGGGCTGGAGAATGCTCTGGGTGGCAGAAACAAATCCTCAGGAAGCAGAGGCAATCAACTCCTGCATTTGGTGAATGGCTACTCTCTCACACTGCCACGGGGTCACTAATAAAGATGGGTTTGCTGTGATGTTGAGATGGGTGAGTCCTTGCTGCTCTTTTTCCCTTTGCTGCAGCCAGGCACAGCCCCAGGAGGCTGAGTGGAGCTCAGCTGCCAGCTGGGGCTAAACCGTGCCAATGATGAACTGAAATGGGATTTACACCCAGGAAGGGATGCTTTCAATGTGTTAGAGGTGCCTAAACAACAGCAGTGCCAAATTACCTCTTCCAGCTTGTGGGGCAAAGAATGCTTCCATTTTAAGTCTGAAGTTCCTGGAGAACAACCAGGACTAGAGGACAAGAGGGAAATAAAAAAAGTTGACTTGGAGGCTCCTCTCTTGCCTCATATCCAGGGAAACTTTTGACCTGTGACCATGGGTTTGGTTTGAAGCTTTTTAATTGCAAACTAAGGAAAACATTCATGGAGATTTTTTCCTCGCTGAAAACCAGCCTGACTTGTTTTGCTTGTGTTACTGTGACAACAGGGAACTGGTTGCAACAGAGGTGGGAAGAGAAATCCCTTTTCAGAGCAGGGAGGGAGCTCAAAGCCACTCTGGACAATGGCACACCAACACCCACCTGTTGAAACTGGTTTCATCATCCCATCATCGTGGGGTGTGTGGGGTGTTGGTGCCCAGGTTCTATGAACGCCCCTGGATGTGACACGGGAACACAAAGATGCCTTTTTGCTTGGATGTGCTGGCACAGGCAGGGATCTGCAGCCCTGCCCTGGGCTCTGGGTGTGACCCCAAGCTGCACCCCGGGCAGCTGGGCAGGGGAAGGGGTGTCCCTGCTTGGCACGGGCTGCAGGGCCCAGCAGGGACAGGGACAGGGACAGGGGAGGGGTGGCTGCTGAACTGCTGCAATGTGCCCCTTCCTGCACGGTGGGAGAGAGACAAAATGACACCAAAGAGGTTCATCATGCCCAGCTTTGGTCATCTCAGCACAGCCACGGCCTGGAAGCTGGGCAGCCCAAGGAAGCGGTCTGGGAAGCGGCACAGCCCAGAACTTCCTGAAGGGAAGGAAGCTGCCCAGAGCTCAGAGAATCCCCCAGAACCTCCAGACCACATGTGCAGCACATCTCCTCCCCACAGAGAGCCCCAGGGCAGCACTGACCCCAGAGATTTGTGTCACTTTGCTGGAATGGGCGTCGGGCACTGCAGGCTAGCAAGCCTTTTCCCTTGGGGACACTTCCATGGGGCCAGTGGCATTCTGGCAGGGCTCCCCAGGGTGTGGGAAGGCTGTCCCTGCAGTTTGTTGAACACAGACACTGCAGCCCCAGCATGGCCCAAAGTCCCATTTGCTCAGGAATTCCCAGACCCCCCAGACTGGTACCCCTCCATCCTGGCATTCCCTTGCAGCTGTGCCTGGATGCAGCAGCCCATTCAAAAAGCCACAGCTCAGCCTTTTTTTTTTTTTTTTCAGAGCATTTGCAAGTCCCATTCACACTGCTGACACATTGGGCCTATTGTGCCCTGCAGCCACCACCAGGTTGCATCTGGTTGTGAAAGTGGAATCCTCACCTCTGCTCTTCTCCAGCCTCCTCCGCAGGATGAGGAGGTCTGCAGGCATCTGCTCTGGAGAGCAGGCAATTACGTGCTAGTTAAACCAATCTGTGCACCTGAAGGCAGGCAAAGCCTCAGTTCCTATTAAAAAAAGATTACAGACATATTCATTAACTATGCCCAGATTGTAATCTTGGTTGCTCTTGCTTAACTGAGTGGTTTAACCACCAAGTTAACCATTCTCCAAATATTTGCATACTGGATGCCTTGCCTCCAGCAATGCAGTGAGTTAGGAGAACCTCCATCTTCTCCTAAATTGCAGGTGAATAATTTGATTTTTAATAGAAAATTATGGCCAGCTCCATGGCAAATGCAAGAGTTTCTGATTTTGCAGCCAGCTGTGTCTGTGAGCAATGAGCACTCTGTGTGCTGGGTAAAACATCTACACAAGCCCCTGTCTTAGTATGAACAAACCTGTGGGAACAGTAAAGCCACAAAAGATCAATTTTATGTAGGGTCCTAAGCCCAACAGCAGAGGTGCCAGCTGAACACGAGCACACAATCCCCAACAGCAGCTTGATGTGACAAGAAACTTTGCAACCTGGACACCTGGAAATCCCTATTGAAGGTGTATTTTGACTGAGATGGCAAACAGGGGAAAAAACTTCATCCCACTGCTCAGAAGGCATGGCCCTGGAACTAGAATTCTCATTGCAAGAGTGAGATAAAACTCAATTAAATACTGCTGTCTTTAGAAACCTGCACCGAAATCAGTGTAAAACATTGCTCCTAAATGTCTTTAACATCAGAACTCCAAATGTAAATTCCCAGGCTGGTCTTGAAGGCTTTCTAAGGTATTTTCTCCCACACTACCAAAAGAGGTGGCCCAAGCATCTTCTGGCATTTGGGGACATGCCATGACAGGCACTCAGACTGGGAGGCACAGAACTGCAGCCCTGAGCCCCAGCAGTGAGGCACAGTGAGACATTTGGGGACATGCCATGACAGGCACTCAGACTGAGAGGCACAGAACTGCAGCCCTGAGCCCCAGCAGTGAGGCACAGTGAGACATTTGGGGACATGCCATGGCAGGCACTCAGACTGGGAGGCACAGAACTGCCCCAGCAGTGAGGCACAGGTGCACACATGAGCTCCCACTGCTGCTGCTTGCTACAGTGCCTCCCAGACACCAGCACTCTGCAACAACAACAACAAAGAGAGGACCCAAACAAACCCAAACTAAACCCACTCTGATGATTCTTTATTGCTTCCACAATCTTGTATTTTCAGCAGTTTCCCAAGAGCATGTGAAAGGAACGTGGACAAACCATCCTCTGGAATGGAGTAAACGCGTGTCTGAAGCCGAAGACTCATTCATTCTCTGGCTGCTCCATCTGAGCATTCCCACTCAGGCAGGACTGTGCTCCTGGGTGGCAGCAGAGCCGTGGCTGGCACAGGGGGCTCCTGCTGCCTCCCTGAAAGCCAAGCCCAGACCCGTGCCTGGGCCCGGCTGTCCCAGCCGCGCTGGCTGGGCCATGAAGCACCACAGCGGTCAGCACGCCGCCCGTCTGACCCTGGCCCAGGGGGATTTCAGCATCCCCTGCGCCTCCTTCACCTCCCTCCACTCCAGCTTTGTGTCAGGAACCTCCTCCTCGGGCTCGGGCTCCTCCCGGACAGGCCCCTGGGGCAGGGCCACCACGATGGGCAGAGGGCCCTGCTCCTCCCGGAACTCCACCACGTAGAGGCTCTTCTGGTCTGCCAGCTGCTGGTGAGTCTCCTGGGAGCAGCACAGGGAAAGGACAGCCAAAACAACGCTGCTTACTGCAGGCCAACATCTACAGGGATGTGGGGCAGGGGAAAAACCCCAAAGAGGAATTTCCTAATAAACAGTTTAAGCACTGCGTAAATGGCTTATCTTACTGGGCAAAAATTGAGATAGCCAGAGCTCAGATACACTCATCAGCCCTACAGTGTCATCCCAGAGGAATTGCTTCTGGAAAAACATACCCTGCTCATAAACATGCCTGCTGGCAGGAACATTTTTATGTCTTTATGTGGATATAAATTTTGTTTCGATAACAGAAAAGTGGCTGTTACTGCCCACACAGGTGGCATTAACTAACACAAAGATACATTCATAAAGATATGAATGTAACATTATTTTCAGTGACACCTGTCCCTGGTCTACAAGGTGTTTTGATAACACTCAGATTTTACAGAGTAAATGTTTACAGGTGACAGGAAACTTTTCCTACTCAGGGCACTGAAGAAAACACATCAAGTGCATAACTCCAAAAGCAGTAATTTATACAGCAGGCCTTTTTTCTGTTTGTTCTGTGGAATGATCTCAGACAAAGACTGAAAATCCAATGCCAGGCTTCCCCAGGCGTGGCTGCCCTGAGGTATTGCTAAGCTGGGAGATCTGTGACTCCCACCAGGCAAAGGGGATCACAGCCCCCTCACCTCTGGGTGACACAGCTGACAGCTACAGCTCTGCAGAGCTGTATTAGGGATGGAAGCAGCTAAACCCTGGCAGCCACCAAAACTGCAAACAAAGGAGATAACCAGGAACTTCCAGAGGGCTGACTCATCCTGAGGCTGCTGTTCAAAGGAAGGAGGACGAAATGCTGCATGCTGGAGCTTTTCCATCAATTCCAGGCAGCTGGCTCAGACAGGCATCTCCACTGTGAGCACTCAGAGGTGGAGGGAACACCACCACTCCCCTGACTGAATTCAGAGTCTCAATTACAGCAGCAACAGAAGCAGATGGGGCTTCACTCCTTGCTCAGTGAGAACTTAGAGCACAAACAAGCAGCAGCAAACAAACCTGGCCCACCATTCCCTGTGCCCAGCATTTTTCAGTAGTCACCAAAACCACACCAAATGAAAGCCCAGGAATTCAGATGTCCCCTGCAGACACCTGGCTGTGGAACAGACAGAGTTACACACAGCTCTTCCTGATGGGCAACTCCATAAAACTGCTGAGGAATTACCCCCTTTGCTGATTTTGTTTGCTCTTTGTAAGATTACTTCACCTTAAGCCTGGAATATTAACTGTTTGCCCACAAACTATTCCATCCCCTCCTGTCCCCATACCTAATGGGCTCTGGGAGTGCACCCACCTGTAGGGTCAAGCCTCTGAAGAGAGCTCTGGTGATGTTAATCAAGTTTTTGGATCCAGTGACCTTGGCATACATGTCCTTAATGCCAATCAGCCTGCAGATGGTGATAATGGCTCGGTGGCAGTGCAGACCATACCCTGGGGGAAAAAATACATAAATGAGTATTGGGTCATTATTCAAAAGCACACAACTTACTCAGAAGAGAGCACTGAGATCTCTTCTTTGCTGTTTCTGTTCCCCAGCATGGTAGAACACATTAGATGTTGAAAATGGCTCCAGGGGCTGTGCAGAGGCATCACTTCCCTTTTCCTGGCCCAGCAATTGGAATGAGTTACACTTTGTCATCATTTTAGCAGCACAGAGTGAAGGAGAGACAAACATACTTCAAAATCCACAAACACAGCAGAGGTTTGTGTGTCATCTGCATCCCTCTCCATCAGAGAGATGGAGAATTTATCAGCTCTAAATTGGAGCTGTAACACATTGGCATTAACTCCAAATGGTTTCTCACACTTGCCAGTTTTTAATGCACGGGATATTTTTTGAAGAGTCCCCTTTCACTCCAGAGAAGTTTGTTTTACATGGCTTAGCTCCAGTGATCTTTAAAAACTACAGAAAAGCCTTGTGTCCTGAGTAAAGGACACAAAAAAGAAATACATCCTGGGGACCAAAAGGCTGGAAAGCTGCAGAAAAGGGCTAGAATGTTTATTCTAGTGAGGTTATCCGATTGGAGACTTGTCAGCTAGGAAATGGAGGGAGAAAGGGGAAACCAGAAACAAAATATACAGAGACACAGAGCTGAAAGAGCTCCAAAGAGACAAGGAAAAGAAAAAAACCACTCCCCTAACTGATGAGCTCTCAGGAAACTTCAGGTGCCACTTCCAGGAAGATCAAACTGACTTCACAACCACCAAGGCTGTAAAGAAAGGGAGACCCAGAGTGGGAGGGGTGTGAGAATTTACAGCTCTGTACAAACCCACCAGTGGCTGGAGCAGGACCAGGCTCCACACCCAGGTAATTCAGAACTGAAGGAATTACACTGAGGAAGAGTGAGAGAGCTCCCACCAATGTAAAGGGGACAAATCCCAATTTGATTGGGAAAAAGCAAAGCTATGTCAGCAAGAGTAGGTATTTCTAAAGAGAAATGGCTGATGATTTTCAACATTTAAAACATGGTAGACTAGACACTAGATAAGTTTAAGTTCATCAAATAAATACCAGTCAGTAACTGTGAAAAATTCAAAATGTAAACTTCTTTAATTACCTTTGTTTTGTTTCTTCATGCGGATTTTTGTCCTTTTAAATTTCACAGAAATGTCATGGTAAACTGGAGTGGGGAAAAAAAAAGGCATTACAGATAAATTCTTCCTTCTAGAAGAGCTTTAGCTAGTGCCTTTCTTTTTCTGAACTCTAAGTTGGTTTTACTCTCCCCTGACTTCTTTAAAGGTAAATTTCTGGAATAGATTGTGAATGCTGAAATACCTGTGAATACTATGTTACAATTGACAAATAGGTAGGTGTGCCTCCAGTGAGCCTCACTTAGTTTTGAACTGAGCTCACGTGACACAATTTGACTCATACCTTTTTTAATAATCTAGTTTTTAACCCAAGAGTTCCCCATAGGCATCAGCATTCTTGGATTTTCCATACAGAGTACTAACAAAGAACTACCAGGAAACATCAGGCTGAGCCTCCAGCCCAGGCTCCCCCTGGCTGCTGGCTCAGCACACAGGGGTTGTGAGTCCCAGGGAATCATCTCCTCTGACACAGAAAGGAGAAAAACACAGGAGTTCACTCACACAGTGAAGAAAAGGGAGTCAGATACTGTCAGGGCATTTAACTCAAACTGTGCCAGAAAAGATCTAATCTTGCTATTAGGAGCCTGAAATACTATGCATTAAGTATCCAAATTTTAAGCACAAGTCCATGGAATAGTTTGGGTTGGAAGGGACTTTTTAAAGGTCAGCTGGTCCAACCACTCCACAATGAGCAGGGAACCTTCAACTAGACCAGGTTGTCAAGAATTATGTAATACAATGCATCAGATCACAAAAACTTGATTCAACATTTTTGTTGCAACCAGTTCTTGCTGGCATATTCAGTGCTTACACTGAAAGAATAATACTTACTTGTGTGGTTCTGATACATCTCTATAAAGTGTAAGGAGCTTATTGCTTTATTCTTTGCCTAGGGAATAAAAGCAGAAAACATTTTTTTCATTAAATTCTTCTGCTAAGCATTTGCAATTTACCATTATTCAGTTAATGAGATAGAAAAAAAAAGAAAGAGAAAATCTTAGGAAACAACAACTTAGGAGAACAGATTTGCCACATCTAAACTCTGTGGAAATGAAGATGTTTAGTCTGGAGAGGAGGAGGCTCAGGGGAGACCTTACTGCTCCCTACAGCTCCTGAAAGATGAAGTGAGCTGGGGTCAGTCTCTTTTCCCAGGTAGCAAGGGGTAGGATGAGGGGAAACTGCCTCAAGCTGTGCCAGTGGAGGCTCAGATGGGAAAAATTCCTGCCCTGCAAGGGTTGCCAAGCACTGGAGCAGGCTGCCAGTGAAGTGGCACCATCCCTGGAGGTGTCTGAGAGATGTGCAGACAGGGCACTGAGGCTGCTGCTGGACTTGGCAGTGTTTGCTCAACAGCTGGACTGGATCTTAAAGGGCTTTTCTAACCCAAATCATTCCATTATTATCTCAATCAAGACAAAGCAAACACATGGACTTACTTCTCTGCAAAAACTAGAGATTATACTGATTACTAGGGAAAAAAAACCCGTAAGTGTAGATATGAATTATTGTAATTGTCATCAAGTAAAAAAAAATTCAATCAACGTACTTTCCTTAAAGCATTTGTCCTGTCACCTGCCTTCCCTATGGCAAAACCTGCAAGACAGAAAGAGGCATTTTATTGCTGAGATACAGATGATGCAGATGATCTTCAGAAAGAAAAGTGGAAAAAACCAAAGAACTTCACAGCCACGTTTAGCATTTCAATTTCCATTCCATTACAGAGACCATACTCAGCAAATGGTTCACAGAAAATCACAGAGACAAACAGTTTAGGAGTTATGAACACCTAATATCTGGCTGCCAACTGCTTGTTGTCAAAGGAAAAAAAAAAAAAAATAAGGCTTAAGCTGTTTTTGTGTGTTTGACCAAACTTTGTTTCAAACAACTGAGTAGTGGTGACTGCTTCAGACAAAAGAGACAGTCCACTCTGATAAACACAAAGAAGTGAATGAAGGAAAAAAGCCTGGGACAACTTTGGTTCCATCATTTAGGACATCTGGATTACAGTGACAACACATTAAGCTTTCCAAAGAAGAGGCAGAAAGAGATTTTTCAGAGTAGCACATCTTTCTGCAAGAGAACCACACCTTCCTCTCTTTACAAATTTTCCTCCACTCCCAAGTGCAAGCAAAATTCAGCCTTGAATCTTTCACATGAGCAATGTACAGCCAAACTCTGGCTGACCAGGAATCCAACTGTCTTATTAAAACTGCCACAAAATATGCCATCATCAGATGTTACCTGTACATAGAATAAATGCATGCACACAGCACATACCTGCAGCCCCTTTGCCATTCCCAACAGCCACTAAGGCACGTACTGATTTTTTCCTGCCTTCCTTTGCCTTCATACAAAACACATTTCTCACCTGAAGAAAAAAACAAAAACAACACAAAACTTCCTGTTATTACACAAGTCCAAATGGGTTGGGCTTTGTTAGTTTTTCTTTCTTCTTTTTTTTTAAAGACAGTCAAGTTTAGAAAAAAGCCATCAGAGGTTTGTAGTATACACTTAAAATATCTGTACTGCCTTTGTCAATGGGTAGCACCTGCAGTGGGACACTGGCTTCAAGGCATTAAATACATAAAGGTTGTTAAAAACAACCTTTCTCCACACTCAGAGAAAAAGTTACCTCATGGAAATTACCTTTCATGAAAGCAACCCCTCTGTTGTGCTCAGCTGCACAACAGATAATGCTCTAATGCTGCCAGCTTTATGTGTGATTTCAAGCATGATGAAACAACATGGGAAAAAAATGGGAAGTAATACTAATACTGAGAAAGCGACACCAATATTGAAGTGCCCCCCTTGTATTTTAACCTATTTTAGAAGCACTCTCAGGAATTGCTCAAGGTCTGTTGTTGCTTTACATGAATTAAAATTTAGGATTGAAATCTACCTGCATGCTGCAGAAGGCAATCTCATTACAGGGATAGGAGCTGCTGAGAAGCAGATTCCATTTCAGAGAGGGGAAGAAGAAGGAAATAGCCTGAAGCTGTGCCAGGGGAAGTTAAGGTTGGAGATCAGGAAAAGGTTTTTCATCCAGGGGGAGGTTGGGCACTGGAACAGCTCCCCAGGGCAGTGGTCACAGCACCAAGCCTGGCAGAGCTCAGGCAGTGTTTGGACAACAATCTGGGGCACTTGGGGTGACCCTTGGGTTGTTCTGTGCAGGGCCAGGAATTGCACTCAGTGATCCTGAGGGGCCCCTTCCAAGTCAGAATATTCCATGATTCTATCAGCAAGCCACTGCTTTACAGCCCCTCACCTTCTGTGGTCTAACACATCCCAAAGTGGACAAGAGACGGATGAGCAGTGGGAGGGAGAGCAACCTGAGCTAGAAAATGCAGAATGTGGCAAAAGGTCACTAAAACTATGAGATAAGGGGAAGAAACTGGTTACATGTCAGCCCAAACCAGCTCCAGTCTGCTGGGGTTTAGAAACACTTCAGAGTTTGTCCTTTGGTGAACTTGTCTCGTTTTGATGTGCAAACCACAGCCCTGAAGCTGAGCCTGTGAGTGGGGACCCCTAACACCAAACAGGAATTCAGAATGTGCTGTGCCCTTAACTCTAGGTGAGAGACAGCTAAGCAAGGAGCAGCTCAGCCCAGCAGTGATGCAGATTCATTATGCAGAACTGTAGAGAACCAAACTGTATCAATATGCTTGCATTTTTGCTTTCAGTGTGCTAGCTTTGCCCACAGCACCCCTGTTGGAGCAGAACTATAAATGAATCAAACAGCTCCACTGTGTGTGCATTGGCTTCTCGCACACTGGGTGATAGAAGCCAATTTTGGGACAACAATCTGAGATCCTTAGTCCATCTGTTCTAGTTCCCTTGGTTTTGTTTATCTATTGAATTAAATGTTTGTTTAAATGCACACATACAGTTTATATGCTGTATGTAATGCATGAATTACATATAAAGTATCAAAAGATAATACATAGCATATATAAAAATCCTTTTCCCTGTATGTAATTCTTCAGTAAGCTACTCTGGCAGTAGTGTTATGCATCTGAAAGTAGATTATTAGAAAATACTTGGTCATGGTTTAAACATTCTTACTAAAATTCACCAGAAGAAATCCAAACAAAAAAAACCCCAAAAAACCTCAAAAAAACACAAACAACAACAACAAAAAAACCCCAAACCAAACCAACAAAAAAAAAAACAAAAAAACCAAACCCAAACCAAACAACACCCCCCAAAATTCCAGTGCCTTCACTAGGTATAGATTATGGTTAAGATTTCAAAAATTTCACCTTGCTTTCATTAAAATAAAGATGCTGCTTAATTCAAGGTGCCCAGACATTCTAGAGAGCACTTTGAAGAAATATCAGCCTTCCAAGCTATTTTTCTTTCTTCAAACTCATTGGTGACAAGAACAAGCTAAAAACCACACCCCATAAGATGAAAGTGTCTGTGTAAATGGGCTATTTAGAGAAAATGCAAAATAATAATGGAAGAAGAGAGAGTGAAGCAGAGTCATCTCCCCAGGAGCATCAAGAGAATACTATTTTTGCTTTCACACACTTTTATCTTCTCTTGCCAATCTCAGCAGGTAACTGTACAAAAATAGAGTCAGCATGTCAAAAATAAAGGATGTGATGTTTGTAGAAATCTCCTCATGGATCATTCCTCTCCCTTTCCAGAATGTGGCAATAAAGACACACGCAAGGAGCTTCTGTGCCACTCTTCAAACTGCACAGCCTCTGAAAAGTGACTGAAACCAAGGCACAGCCACCCCTATGCTCAGACTGCCACCCAAATTAGACTGAAAGCCAATTTTTAAACTTTGAAAGCGGATGCAGCACATGTTCAACCTAAATCACAGTGTACCTCAAATTAACTCCTTGTATCCACCATCCAGTGGGGAAATACTACAAACTCAGCTTGCTTTCTAGAACTGAGGGAAGAGCAGCACCTCAAAACTAAAATGAAACCACCTCAGACATTTATTAAGAGGGGAAATGACAATGTGGAAGTAAGTTACATTCAAAGACAGACTGCTAAACACTATTATGCTTTCAGCAGTTGGACTTGGTTAAAAAAAAAGGTCAAAATTCAACACTTCCTGCGAGGTTTTGTTTCTGTAAGAGCAAAATGAATGACTGGCCAACTTGATTGCCCTTGGCACTCCCTCCTTTCCAGAAATCCTACTCTAGTCATGATTTCCAGGAACCTGCCACCTCCAGGCCACACTCCTGACACTGCCACTCTTTTGTTTTGCTGCTGTGATGCAGAGAAATGATTGCAAAGGCTGATCCCCTGATGGGCTAAGAGCCTCTGGTCCTAGCACTCCTCCAAGGTACAAGGGGAAGTGAGATAAAATGAGAGCAGGGTGCAGTGCTGAAAGAAAAGCACTTCCATGCCCATGAGCCTAGACAGGGTCAGGGGCACAGCTAAAAGGTTTGGGAATCCAGTTACCTAAAAGAACTGAGTAATCAATGTGTTAAAAGTCCCAACCCCATGTTAGCTGCATCATGTCCCTACCAGCATCCTGTGCAGATGGGAACACACTGGCAGAACATCTCCCAGCTGAAATGACTGCATTGAAATGGTCCTTAACCCTGCACCCTCAGAGGAGGAGATGCTCTCCCCACCCAGCTCCCTCACAGAAAGATGGGATTGCTATCCCATTGCAATCCCCCACTGAGCCCTGCAAGCCAACCAGCAGAAATGAACAGCACTCACACAAACACAAGCAGCACTCATAACCTTGTCCTGTTCCTCTCTTTCCTCTCCCAGTGTGGCTTCAAACTACAGATCCCAGCTGAGTACAGATCCTTTGGATTGACCCCCCAACAATGCATCCTCAAAGTCACTCTGCTGCTGAAATGGCTTCATTGCCTTTTCAAAAGATGAGCCATAATTATGCCAAATTAGAAGTCACTCAAAAGCTTCTGGGTGCTCCAAATGTCAGTTATTTCTTCCATACAGCCTGACAGGTAAGAGATAAAAATCATCAAGTATTTATTAAACAGAACCAGTTGAGGGTAGCATTCCTAAACTCTACTTTTAGGGCAGGCCAAAATCTTTTGAGTACTCCAAAAGTATCAGAAATAGTGCACAGCTCTGACCTCTCATGTTTTCCTGTGACAGGTGGCTTCAGGTGCTATCTTAAAAACTGTCTGAAATTTTCACTGCCAGTCTCAAGACACTGTCAGTATCATCTAGGGAACAGAAGACTTCCCTGTATTCTAAAAACAAAATCTAGAGCCTACAAATACTCCTAAAGTACTTCTGAGGCAACATCTCATTAGAAGTAAATCATTACTCAGAGAGTATCCTTTATACCATATAATTTTTTAGTCAAGGCTGTCAAACACTGGATCTCAGACACTGTAATTCATACAGCATTTCTTTTTCACAAGCCCTTTTTTTTTTTTCACCCATTGCAAAAAGAACTGCCAATGGCTTATAAAAAGAAACAAAAGGGTTTAGGCTGTGCATTAAAGAATATTCTCTTTGCCACAAGTAGCCAGTCTACCAAGCTGGGCCAAGAAGAAGCCAAATGGACTGAGACAAGAACACCTAATGCTACTTTGCATTCTGCAGTTCAACACTCAGACACAAATCTCTGAGTGTTTTTGTTGGTTTATGACAGCACCATACCTGCACCATCTGACTCAAAACCAGATCTATTCTGACACTGCAAAGGTTGCACCGACCCTGCTAAAATGGAGCGGTGCTTGCACAAAATTCTTCAAGCTGCCATCACCAGAAAGAGGCAATGGAAACAAAAAAGCATGAACCAACCAGCAAGTGATCACCAAGCACAGCTGGTAGGAGGCAATTTCAGTGCTGGACAAAACCCCTTCGAGATCTGTCTTTGCAAAGGGCTTTATTTATATCTTCTCATTTAGAAAGCTCCCCTTAATGAGAGACTCAAAGGGCCACTAACCTCATGCTCTGTGCCTTCAAGCCCTACAGAGCACAAGGTCTCACTTTCTAATTTTAATTGCACTACAAGGTAATTACTATTACAGCACAAGGTAATTACTATTACTTTTTTTTTTTTTTTCTTTTGCTATGTTACCATGTTCATTTTGGAGAAAAATAAAAGAAAAATTCATCTGAGGGTTGATGACACATGAAATGAAGCCTTCCAGTGAAAATAATAATGGCACATGTCAGCTGCACCTGTAGATTTTAATTACCACTGTGATTACATGATGTTAGAACACCAGTTAAGCATTACCATCAGTTCTATTTAAAGAAATTGTTCTTATCTCTAATAGGAGCAGAACAGGAAATATTGCCTTAGGCTGGCAGGGAAAGTAAGAAACAGTTAACCCAACTTCCAGTTGATGTGAGAATATGAGCTTGTCTATACTCTATTTTCTAGCCAGAAGAAATCAAATCACAGCTTTTCTGTTTCTGCATTATAAGAAAACACTTTAATAAGCAATTTCTTTCTTTGTTTAGGAAAACAGCACAGCCTTTTCAGTAGCACAATCACAACAGAAATACCCTATTATATCTTTGTTCAAAAGGCAGTCCTTTAAAAATGGCTCTGAGTTTCTTGCTGTGAAGCACAACTTCCCAGCAAACGTTATTTTAATCTCCTGTACTGGTGTGAAGGCAAAGACAATGGAAAACACATCCAGAAATAGCAGCATGTCTCTCACCTATTTAAGCCAGGAATGCTAAAATGATCTATTTATTTCAAAACTCATACTTGTTATCAGAAAATTGTAAGATTCAATTATCTTGAGCTCGCTGCTGCTTTTGAACAGAGAATTTTTGCTGCTGCTATTTTTCTGCAAAAGCATTCCACTTTCTTAGTCCACATCTGTGGCAATCTCACGTAACAGCAGAGCTCCAGCCTGCTTCTAAAAGCTTTTTTATTACTCAAATATAATAAAGCATTGAGCCAAATTTGTACAGCACACGGAACCACTGCAGAGCGACTCAGCTTTGCTGTTTGTAAACAATTCTGCCAGTAAAGAAGGGCAAACCCCCTGCTCTGGCACCCAAAGTGAGAGCCAGCTGTGACATGGCACAGCAGCAGACCAACATTCTCTGCTCTGTGCCCCCTCAGGCAGCAGAAGGCACTGCCAGCTGCAGGGCTTGGGAGCAAAAATCACTTATTTTAGGAACAGTTTCTGTGCAGTTTTCATAAATGGCCCTCAAACACAGGCTCAGCTAAAGGCCACGTGCTCCAAATGGTCTTTGCTGTATCAGTCAAAGCCCAAAGTGTGGCCCAGTCCACTCCAAAAACCCACTGAGATATGAAAATAGGTTAACAGGTCGCAGATTTTGTCCCCCCATCTCTTCTGACAGATTATCTAACTTGTTTTTAAAAAGCTCCAATGACAGACATTACCTATACTCCCAATTCATTCCAGTATTCAAATTCCCATTTACAAGTCATTCTTTATATCTAAATTTAGCTTGCTTTTTATTTATATCCATTGCTTTTTATCCTTTTCACAGCAGACATCTAAAACAGTTTACATCTTTCCCCTTTGCAGGATTGAAAAAAAAAAAAAAAAATAGAAACCAACTCATGACTTTTAATTACCCAGACTGAGATTACAATTCAGAATCATTGTTTGCCATGTCTCAGGAGATACCAAAGCCCACTGCCACAAGCAAAGACTGGGATTTATCTAGAAAACACTCGAGCCACTGGGTAGAAATCCAGCTAATGGTGATCTCAGCAAAATGCAGAAGATAATCAAAGACAAGGAAACCAATTTGCACATTTATCAGGACAGGAGAGAAGCTTTTCTGGAGTAGAGCTGTCAGGTAGCTCAGCTTCTGACTTGACTGATCATTCTTTTAACTTCCAGACAAGGAGCTGTGGTTAATCAGACAATTTTGTTAAGAAAATGTTTCTCTTAGCCCTTCCCTCTCAAATTAAGAGACAAGGAACTCACTTTCTCACAGGCTGTGCAGCTGAAACAGAGAACCAGACCAATTCTTACTGCTACAATACTGACTTGGCAAAGACTTATTAAATAATTGCAAGGTCAATATAAAGTAGTGATAATTCTTCAAAGTCCCTGGAAAGATTTGCCATGCTTACCTCGATGACTCTTGTTTCAAAGTCTTCATAAGTTTCTGTAGGGAGAAAAACAAGGAGAGAAAAGCATATTTCCTCGTGTTACTTGTCTGTCAGCACACCCCCCTGTAGGTGGTACAAATTAAAGAGGACACAACTTCCATGGAGATGTAGTTTATAAAGGAGTCTCAGCACAAAGTAGAAAAGGTAAGGCAAGAATAAATTGAACAAGCAATGTAAACTGCTTTCTCCCCTAAATACTGCTCTAAAACTGCAAATAAACCTCAAATTTCATATATACAGAGCAAAAGATGTAAATTATTAAAATCACCAGATGGGTCACTTCCATTATGACTAAAGTATTATCTAATATTTTTCAGAATATTCTAAAGCTTTTACCATACAATTAACAGGGATTCAAAGAGATGTGGGGCTTGGACTAGATGACCTGCAAAAAGTCTCTTCCAAATCTACCTAGTCTTTGATTCCATGGAAATGCAAGTACTTCTTTATTCACAGAAAATTTCAGAAAGTGGAGGGGGAACTTGAAACAAAACAATACATGACCACTTCAAATAAACATAGTCCTCACAACCTCTTGCTTTTCCAACTTACCCCGTGAACAAGAGCATTTCAGTACAACACAGAAAACCTTTACTTGGTGTAGCTACAGTGAGATTTTGGAGGAAAGTTTAAAAGCCTGTAACGGTGTAGAACTGGGGCCTCAGTCCTTGACCAAGCATTGGTTTATTATTTACACAAAACCTCCAAGATGTTTATGAACATGATAATCTTGGCACAGTTTAGAGACCTGTCAGTCTGCACAAAGCAGATTTCTGGCTCACAGTAAGGATATGAATCTGCACTCTCTGCTCCCTCTGAAGCTCTTCAGTTGCTAAAGAAACACTGCAAACTTGTGAGAAAAGCAATTTGATTTTTAAGTGGAAAACACTGTTCTTTCTCTACTCCTAGCTAGCACAGTGAGTGACACCAGGAAATTCTGTCATGCCACAGTCTCAGGCCAAAAGGACTCATTGGGTTTGGCAGCTTCAGGTCTGCTCTTCCCAATACCTTGACATTGCTTTGCATACAGGGAATGTCCCAATTCCCCTGCAAAAGCATCAATCCTCTGAATAAAAGGAAAGGAACTGAAAGAACTGTGGGGGCCTGAAGGTCCCTGACATTTTTAGCAGACTAGAAGGAAACCAGTGCATGCTGATCACAAACTGCTTTTTCTCAAACACATTTATAATACAGGCTGACAGCTTCATTCTCCTGTTTTGATTGCAGTGCCCTTTCCTCTTTTTGGCAGAATGTGATCTGACTAGAGCAGGCTCCACACAGCCAACTTTAATGCAAGTAATCCACATCAGTAGTACCAGCCAAAAGTAAAAGCAAGGAAAACACCAGAAGGTTAAGTTCACAAATACATAAACACTGTTTACAACAGCTGGCACTTCTTCTGGTGGGATAAACTCAACACAGTCTTGTGTTCAGAGTATGGAACTAGAACCATGGCACTTCCTTGACTTGCTCCATGTTCCACCACTGACTTATGGGGAATTTGGAACAATTAATCTCTCAGATCTCCTATTTTTACACTGACAGGTTCAGTGACAGTTGGCCAAGTCCATTGTCCCATCACTGCCTTCTACAGAATATTTGCTCTTAGGGTAAAAAAATGAAATGCAAACAGTGCTAGAAAATACCACCTGTCTTTCTTAGCTCCTCTTACTATAAAAGTGTACAGAAAGATGTCAATAAGCAGAGTTTCACCATAAAAACTCAGCCCAACAGGAGCTGACAAGGCTTTTTCATGTTTAATTAGTTGAAAAAGATTAGGCTTCTAAATGTTAAAGCTACTACAGAATCTCTAGTAGTCCGAATAACAGCACTTTATAAAAGTCACCTCTCTGCTGTACAAGTAAAAGTTCTAGCTTCACTATATTGAATTACTTAGGAAATAAAAAAAAAAAAACTTTTATAGTAAATATGATAGTTATTTATTGCAGCTTCTTTTAAAAGCTACATTCAAACTACATAATCTTTAACCCTATTTCATTATTTGAACTAGAATTTCAAAAAGATTGATTTATCCCACAGGATCCTTTAAGAAACTATTGAAAAAACATGACTACACATCACACTCAAGACAATTGATGCTGGACACAGAAGAACGTTTCCATCCTTCAGGACTCCTGTAGCAGTCTGTGACATGGCACAGTACTCTGTAAAACCACACAAAATCATTCAGTCTGTAATGGAACAGAACAGGCTAACAGCTGCAGGAAATAAAGCAGTGTTTTAACAGATTTCACTGGTGTGAGCAGTACCTGCTCTTTGATTTAGCTTGCTTGTGTGTGGGCCTGGAATAAAGTACAAAACCAATTTTCAATCACAGAAGAAGTCTGGATCTCACTTTCTGCAAGTCCCCCCTCAGAAAGGGACAGGAAGAAGATAATTGGTTTTCTTACCTCCATTCGGCCCAGGGTCAGGAGGATCCAGAATGACACCTCCCCAACACTTTCCACTCCATCCTCCCTCTCTCTTAATTTTTATTTTCTTTTTCTTCTCAAATGTATCTCTCTGCTGAATGATTTCAGACTGAATTCTCTCTCGTTCTTCTTTTTTCCGCTGGGCAACTTCTTGCACTCTCCCAGTTTGCAACACAGGAGCATTAAGACCAGGCCAGAGGAAACCAGAACGTCCTTAGAAATAACAGAGAAAAATTATGCTTTGCTCCAAATTAGAATTTCAACTCTGGACTCATGAAAATGCAATGAAATGGAAAACTCTCACATATTTCAAATGTGTTCTATGATGCAGAATTTATAACTGGAAAAGCAAAACCAACATTAAATAATAATAAAAAGATTTTTTTTTTTTTTAAAAGCCAAAGCGGTTCTGGCATCACAGAAATGAAAATAAAATTGTCCTCTTATGAAATCAAGAAACACTGTACACAAAAATATCAAGATGTCTTCAGCTTTGTATTTGTGAATCTACCTTCACCAATCTCCTGGCCTCTATTGAGATTCTTCCTTAGCTTCTTCTTCTTTTTCTTTCCTCTTCCTTTCTTTACTCCTACACCAGTCTCTGCCAAAGCTCCTTTCCATAGCTGATCAGCTGTCACTGAAAAAAGAAATAAATCCTTAAGTTACATTCAAGCACAGCTTACACTGGAAACTGAAGCTGAACAAAAAATAACCCCAAACGTGAAACCTGTGTGATCTTTGCTTTGCTGGAATTTAACTGTAGCATTACTGCCTTGCCAAGAAAGTAATTTCCTACTCTGTGCATATGTATTTGGTGCAAAGATGAGCCTCTACCCCTGATTACTGCACTGAGAGAGGCACACAGCCAAGGGCATGTTTCCTACAAGGTTTTTCAAAATTGATTTAAAGACAAATATTCCTAACAACTAGCCAGTATGGTATGCATTTCCAGGTCATGAAAAGAAAATCATTCATTAGTAACTCAGAGCAGCAATACCTTGCAGTACATATCCAAGGGCATCAATCAGTGACAGTCAACTTGAATCACTTTTAAATATCCAAGGGCTAGCCTGCTTTAAAAGCCACAAAACATAAAAAATTAAGCAAAACATAAACCTGCTGCCATTCTCAAGTTCTGAAAATACAATGTTCCCCTTATTGACTGTGTAAGTAGGAAGGAATGCAGAACACTTTAAGAGCATCATCACAGAGTTCTGGCTCTGTCAGGCCTCCTCAGGCAGTGGCTGTGGTTTAAAACCAGTGTCTGAACTGTCAGCCACTAAAAACCTTACAGCTGATTACAACACACCAATGCATGTAGCTGTGACCTAAAGGTGTGGGGGGAAAATACCAACAAAAAGCCCCACCAAAACCAACAAAAACTTATATAAAAACACATTACCTCCTTGCTGCAAATTTTTTTAGCGGGGCGAAAAAGCAAGTAAGTAGGCAACATGTTTTTCAGTAAATTCATGCTAAGTGAACTATGGGGCTGTTCCATTAGGTGGAAGGCTGGTCATCAATCCTGTTAATCAATCCTTCTTAGCTGATTCAGAAAACACCGTGTAACTAGCAATTCTTTTTAAAAAATGATAATCTTTCTAGCCTGGAAACATGGAATCACAATAAGGGTACTTAGATTTTTCTTTGCAAGGCTATTTTGAAGCTGGAACAGTCCCTCAATCTGCAGTTTGCGTGACACCACAGAGGGTCAAACAGCTACAAAGGAGGCTGCAGAGGGGCAGCACAAGCAGTTAAGAGAAAAGAGCAGCTCTGGAGCTGGTAATACATGACAAAAAAATCCTGCACTTTGAGCTGCACTCCAAATATACATACAATCAGATCACTTTAATTCCAATAGAGGGAGGTAGCAAAGGTCACAGACTAAGGACATTGCCTTGCACCAGAGGAGAACATTCAATGCCAACACATCCATGAAGAACAGGTCAGGCCGAGTAAAGCTTTGGCCTCAAGCACTACACAAATTCTGACAAAATTAGAACCAGATGAAAACATCACATTTGGTCCCAAAGTGCAGTTCATCTCATCAGTCTGTAATAACACCATCATGTGTTTGGAAAGCAGCTGCATTTAATGAAACTCATCAGAAGCCTGCAGGCTGCAGGGCTGAGTTCTTTATAGGATGGAGGTATCACGCTGATTTTAAGACGAAGTGACAAGAATGGGATGTGAAAGGGATAGGCTGTCATCAGGAAGATTACAATGGTGGGGACACTGCTTGTGACAGACAGCCAACACACCACTGGAGAAAATAAAAATCTGTGTGTAAGAAAGGTCAATCTGACTTGGCAGCAAAGCACCAAAGTGATTAGCAAGCACACACGGAGGCAGGAGCAATGTCTTGATTTGGAGGAAGTAACTCCAAGAAAGGACTTTCTGCACTGCTTTCACACTTGTGGAGATGTTCAGGAATGAAGACACTACAGCAGAGATGCAGTGTCTTTGAGATTGATGGGCTTATTTTATTTTGCCTCTGTAAAATAGGGTGCTGCATGCATTCCTCAAGAGCTAAAACAGAAGCAGTCGTAAAAGCCACTGCATATTTTTAGTCAGTTACCCAAAAGCACAGAGCTACTGAGTGGGGGGGAAAAGTGTCATCTATAAGATTTGATTTTATAGACTAGAAAAAGATTCACTACTGAAGTGATGTGAAAACATGCTTTATGCAAGCTGATCACTAACAACAGTAAGTCTGTGTGACATCATTCCATGTAGCTTAATCTACACAAAAGGTATTTGTAATATTCTGGAAAGCATTTGGGTTTGTGTCTTTTTATATTATCCCTGAATACTGGGAATGAGACAGGTAATTATCAGATTAATATTTGGCCACACCTCAGTAAATCAAAAGCATTAAAAGACTTGCTGTAAGCCCCATCAGAAACCAGTATCCTAGATACTCATTAACTGAGATTAAAATCAGAATTCTTTGTCTCCTGCAAGATGAGTTCACAGCTTGCTGAGCATACAAAGAGAGACAAAGAGCAGTAAGCTGGAAAAATGAAGGGAGTAAAAGGAGAAGAAAGAATCAATTTTGTAGAACAGCTAAGTAGGCTCACTTCTTTCCAATACAAGTAATCTTTCCCTAAGGATTTTGGTGACAAATAGCCTGTGGCAGCACAGCAGCAGAGATACAAAGACATTAATACTGACATAATAAAAAGACTAAAGAACTTATAATAAACAGTTCCTCGGTGCACTGTTGTCCATTAACACCATTACAGTTGTGCAGCTGTATCACCAATGGAACTCAGTAAGGTCTTTTCAATCACTTACATTCTCTTCCAAGTCTCAGCCTGGAATACACACTTTTATTAACACATGAAATCTTACAAAATATGATATTTCAACCCCCTTCCTTCTCCAGATACCAATGCCACTATCTCCAAACAAAAACAGGATTTAGAAAAAAATGTTTCGTGCATATGAAATATGAACCAGCCACATCAACCACTCTAACCAGGATCTGGCAAAGAACTGCAATTTAAGTAGCTTAGGTTAGGAAAAAGGAGTGCTCCAAAAATCTAAACATGATGCCATATTCCCTCTCCACCATCTTACAACACTATCCTTAACTACAAAGCATTTAGGGTAAAGGTGCTAGGAAAAAGCATACCCAGAGCAGCTGTCATAAGAGCAAAACCTGCAACTCTTTGCAGTGGCTGAACATGACTCAAATAATTCAGATGTCATTTCCAATTGCATGTATTAACATTCAACGTCAAGCTCAATTCTTATGAGTGGCTGGAGTCATTCTCACAATAACATTAAAATCTACTTCCAAAACAACAGCAGTGAACCATCCAAAACAAAGATGGAGTTTGGCTTCTTACACCTTAATCATCTTCAGCTGAACTCATACACTGTTCAAAACCTGTCAACTCAGTTCATACCATCTGTTATCCCTGAGAAGTTATGTTTCTAATATATTTTCCTCCTAGCTTTAAACATGGAAATCTTTCATTCCAAGACCTACTCAGGCTTTGTAAAGTTACTTATGGAAAATATTTAACTCCTCTAGGTTGAATCCTCTCCTCCATGATTCAAAAGGGAATATTCTGCAGATGATAATACAAAGAGATTTATTAATGAGAGAAAAATGGAACAATGTCATACTAATACCAGAGGGATTACTTCTAACATGTGAGATTCTACAGCAGACTCATCAACATCAGTGTGTTCATCCCAAATGAGAACTGCTCTTGCCACCTGACCTCTGAAATCCAACTGTCTGCCTCCATGTGACATCAGTTCCTTGATTTTCTGTTTAACCCTGGCCCGTGAGCAGAAAAGCATGGATCCACAAGATCTATAAAAAATTACATATAGTGCCAGATTATGCTCAAGTCACTAAGTCACCACACTCAAAACATTGTTTTCTTCAAAGAAAGAGACCCTTTTTCAAGAGACCTCTCAGCCTTTAAAAATGGAAGCATATGATGCACATTGATACTGAAGATAATGAGAAGACAAAAATGTCCCACTCCCCAGTGAGGCCATTAAAAACCAGGGCAGCTAAAGCAAAATACAAGCTCCTCTTTGCAATTCTGCCTCACCCTCTGCAGATGTCACTCCTGAGGGTATTATCTGTGAGCCCTCCAGGGCCTTTACAAAACCTGGGAAGCAGCCCTGAAGACTGTTCAGCCTGGACAGCCACTGCTGGGGCACACAGCATGAACTGGGGGCATCCAACTGCACAGCTGCCAAATCTGGGCACTGCAAATGTCCCACCACAAAAACCAACGTGAGGCCATCCAGGAGACCACCACCACAGGACAGACAGAGAAATGGTTTTAGATAAAAGCTCACAGAAAAAAATTAAAAAAAACAACTGCACATCCCTGGTATGTTTCCACTGAAAACTTAAGCTCAGTTCTACTTCTCACTGCTAGACAGATTTCCACAAGAGCAAAACAAAAAAAAAAAAAACCCATCTACTACCAAACATTCTGTTTGATTTTGTTAATGCAAGTCTCTTGGGCTACCTATTAATTCATAGTAATTTAATAACATTGTTAAAAAATGCAAAAGCTCCAATTATGTGGGTTGCATAAAAATTTTGTTTAGGTGGGTCTGCAAATTTATTGGCAGAAAAAGACATCTATAGTCTAATTATTTTCTCCCCCAAGATAGAATGGGAAAGTTTTGGGCATTTTCCTCAAAATCCAGAAACAAAACTTGCATCCTGATAGTACAACAAAACCTGGAAAATATTCCAAAATATGCATTCACACTGCTGCACTGACACAGGCAATAACTCCACTTTTCTGCAAACCTTGAGCACCCTTCCACAGTGCACTCAGATTAGAATTTCACATTTTCTAACACTGGCAATTTGTCACAATGTCAGCACAAGTTGCAGACATGGGACTGTCAGGTTGATTGTCAGCCTCAATTCAAACCCTGAATAAATCCAGCTACAATTCCAGCACTTCCAGTACAGAAATTGTACTTTTTTTCTTTATAACATTTCATGAAAAACCAAGGACCTTACATGTAGCTAGTATGTGTGATTGTAAATACTACTATCTTTTGAAGGTTCCTTTGATTAGTAAAGCTTTCATTTTTTATTTTTAGTAACTATCACACCTCAGTGTCACCAGATGGATATATGGAGAAGAGAAATTTCTGCGAGGTTTCTGCAAACTAAACACCCTTGGCTTGGTTCAGTTCCTCAAAACAAAATGAAAATCAGAGGCTAAATGCCTTTGAAAAGTAGTACCATAAAACGATCAAAATAAATACCGTAAAAAACCCCAATCAAATGAAAACCCAATAGAATACCTCTCCAGGTACAATTAACTATAAGGCATTCAGTTCCCTTTCTTTTGACAAAAAGCAATTAACCAACTATTTTTCAACATACAGACAATTCTCTTGTAAAAGGAAAAACAAATTTTAAAAGCTGTTGTACAGATGTAACTCTTTACATCCTTAATGCTGAAATATCTTCTTATGGTGCCAATGATAATGACAAGAGGCAGCTCTGTAATTATTTATTTGGAATGCTCATATTTCAAGGAAAATTCTTTGTAAATTGAAAAAGTAAGCATTTTTAAATTCTGATCATGGAGTTAGACATGGCTGTCAAAATGAACAATTTAGTCCAAAGAAAACTCACATAAGACTACAAAAACATGGTACAAAATGTACTTAAGGAGCAGGCTCAAGGAGCAGTGCAAGGTTCTCCAGCCACAGAAGTGGCTTTGGAACAAGATGCTCGTGAAGACCCTTCCTACCCAAACCACTCTATGATCCCACGGCTGGCTCCCAAGGGCAGCTAATGGGATTGCCTGTGAGCAGGACTGTATGATTTTTATACATTCCTAGTAACAAATAAAAGCTCCTCATCTCACATGCACTTGGATACACAACAGATGACGAGAAAATCACGCTGGTTTGGATGCCTGGGGTCAAAGATAATTCCTCAGGCTGGGAGACAGCCAAAGCAGTAAATGAAAACTGAACTGCTTCCCATGGTCAGGAGGGTGGAAAGGGCAAAGAATAAGCCTGCAATATGAAGATAATTTTCCATCATTTTATTAAAAACTCACTGAAGCATGTTACAGGACAGGAATAAATCCCTATGTATGTTTTTGTGTCCGTGTTGCAGGACAGAAGTACCTAGGTAAGGATCAGAGACAAATGCCTAGGACAATTGCAATTTTTCCTATTTAAATGAATTCCTTCTATTTAAACCAGACAAACTATTAAAAATAATAGTTCTGTTGAAGGTATAGATGACCCTACTTACAAGAGCACAGTAATATTACCCAAGGACTGATGAAAGAACATTAAGCATTCACTAGAGAGAGAAAAATCCAGTCACCCTTCTCAGGCACAAAGCTCTGTCATTTGGCTGACATTTCACTTGACAGCTATTTCACATAAAATGGTCATATCTGCATTTTAAATGTTGCCACTCCAGAAGCAACTGCACTGCTAAGGAATTGAGTGATTTATACTGTTTGTATCCACTTCATTTCAATAGTGAGGGTTTTGCTTTTTACTTCTGTGAGTGTTCTTAGAATAATTGTACTTTGAAATATAAAACCCTGAGTCTTCTCAATCTCATGGCTACTGCCTCTGCTTAATACATAAAGGAGGTACACTTTCATTTTTTCAGGTTGTTACATCTTATTAAATAAGCCAATAGTTTCAGGTAGTTTGCCTAGATAAATAAAATTTTACTAAACAACATGGATGCTTTGTTTCAGCAAATATTTCTAATTCAGACATTTAACCAGACGTCTGGAAAAGCTCCTGGCAAAACAGAGCTCATCTAGAGCTTGTGAATATAAATACAAGGCTAATTAAGGAAATAATCTAACCTACAAATCCTAATCACACTGCAATCACTTGTGGTTTAATTTAAGATAAACAAAATAACAACAGAGGGTGGCTTCTTACACATTCTCATCTTGCTGCTGCTCGTCTAAACGAGTTCTCCCTGCAGGTGGCATCCTTAGAAAGCCTTTTCCATGCACAGCCTGCAGCTCACACTGCAGCCTTTCCAAGCCTTTGGAGACCCCTCCACCCTCAATTACAGTCAAGGGTCAAAATTTACTGGATAAAACCAGCAGCAAGCCCAGCCTGACTGTTTAACCCCTTCTCTTGAGCAGATGTAAAGAAAACAAATGCAGCATTCTGCCACCCAGATGTTGAGAACAGGAAGAGACCACCAGTTCTGAGAGTCTGATTCTGCAGAGCTCTGAAATTCTGTGGATTAGAAACAACCACATTCTGACCCTCTGACTGCTGCAGTTATCTCTGCCAGAGCCTGTGTCCTTGCCATTTTCTCTCTTCTGCTATGGGGCAGGATAAGGAAGCACAGAGCAGGTGAAAAAGCCCCCCAGCTATCTCAGTTCACAATCCTGAGTGTCAATTCAAACAGCCAGAATTCCTCAGCTATGCCAAACACGGGTGAAATTCCTTCCAGGACTGGAGGAAAACACTGCACCAGAGCAGACAGTCTGCAGGGGGGGTTACCAACAGTTTTTGTGTCTTGCATTGCAGCAATTCCACTTTTGAACAGCAGGCCTTGCCTGTGGCTCAAAAAATAATTTAGAAGATAAACACACAATTTATACTCTCAATAAAGGCCTAGGAAACAGAGGGGAAGCTGCTTCCTCCTCCCATCCAATGACATACATTAGAGGGATGACACAAAGCAAACCCTTGTTTGATGCTAAAAGATGATAAATTGATTTTGTGCACACACTTCTGTCAACACCTGCAGCTGCCACTGTAATCCCAGGAGACACAAAAAAGTCAGTATACACAGATTTTCATGACTGTGTCTCTCCAGAGCAGCGTTTTCTTCCCCTCTCCTGTTTGTTACAGTTAACAATTTTCATCCAGCTCAGGACTTACAGGTATTGAAGAAACTGCTTTTCCTGCACTGCTCCACTGTCCCAGTCCAGGGGGCAGAGAGGGAGCAGCGTGTCTGGAAAGCCCATGCCAGGCTGGAGTAGGGACTGCAGCTGCCTTTCACTGGCACAGAAGCAAAGCCTGGAACAAAGACAGACAGGTGTTTAGAGACAGCACACCTCCTTCCTTTAAAAACTGCATTTCTGCAAATATAGGCATGGGCAGAGAAGCCAGTGATTTTCACAGGGAATCAGACTTGAACCTTTTGTCTTGAAGTGCAAAGCAGAAGGTGGGAGGGAAAACACTGCAACAGAAAATGTCACAAAGAGGGCAGTCCATCTTGCTGATAGAATGATTTTAATGAATTATTAAGTAGTTGCAGCCTTTATTTTTCCTGGTTTACCTGCAAGAAATGGTTGGGGTTTTTTAAGGATATTCTTGTGACTAGGCTGTGGAAATGCTTCCCTCTGCTAAGGAAAACCCACCAGCCTGTTTTCAAGCCCTGCTTAATGTTCAGGCTCTAATCACAGTTTGGCACCACTTCATTACAGATTGCCCTGAGGATGGAAAGAGACCTGAAATTCATCAACTGCTTCGATTCTGCTAAAGAAAAGAAAGGCAAGAAGGTTTTTAGAGGACTGTAGAAGATAAAGATGTTTTCCCTTCCTCCTAATTACACTTTAAAAATACATTTGAGTTTTGAAAAATGACTAAAGAGGATCCATGTGCCCATGGATGCCAGGGTGTGCCCACGGATGTCCGTGTGTGCCCATGGATGTCTGTGTGTGCCCATGGATGATGTCTGCGTGTCCCCATGGATGTCCAGATGTGCCCATGGATGTCTGTGTGTCCCCATGGATGTCTGTGTGTCCCATGATGTCCGTGTGTCCCCATGGATGTCCGTGTGTGCCCATGGATGTCCGTGTGTCCCCATGGATGATGTCTGTGTGTGCCCATGGATGTCCGTGTGTCCCCATGGATGATGTCAGTGTGTGCCCACGGATGTCCGTGTGTGCCCATGGATGTCTGTGTGTCCCCATGGGTGTCTGTGTGTGCCCATGGATGTCTGTGTGTCCCCATGGATGATGTCAGTGTGTCCCCATGGATATCCGTGTGTCCCCCATGGATGTCCAGGTGTGCCCATGGATGATGTCTGTGTGTCCCCATGGATGTCTGTGTGTCCCCATGGATGATGTCCGTGTGTGCCCATGGATGATGTCTGTGTGTCCCCATGGATGTCCGTGTGTCCCCCATGGATGTCCAGGTGTGCCCATGGATGATGTCTCTGTGTGCCCATGGATGTCCGTGTGTGCCCATGGATGCCCGTGTGTCCCCCATGGATGATGTCTGTGTGTGCCCATGGATGTCCGTGTGTCCCCATGGATGCCCGTGTGTCCCCACACACAGATGTCCGGGTGCCGGTGCCCCCTGAGCGCGCTCCCCTCGCCCTGCGGGGAATCCCCGCCTCCCGTGCCGGTGGCTGTGCCCTCCCCGCGGCGGAGCCGTTCCCGCTGTCCCGTCACCTCTCCATGCCGCTCGCAGCGCGCCCCGGGCCCAGGCCCGCCCGGCCGCCGCCGCCGCCGCCATCGCCCGCCCTCAGCGCCGCTGCGGGCGCCCTGCGCACTGCCTGATCAGAAAGCGCCGCGGGAGCGGGAGCGGCGCGGACACCGCGGGGCGGAAGAGCGGGGACGGCGGCGGCCGCTCGCTGCAGCCTTTGCTGCCGCTGCAGCGGAGCCTCGGCCGCCCCTCTGCCCCTGCCCCGTTAACAATCCCACCGGCAGGCAGGCGGGCACAGCTGAGGGGAAAGCCCCCGGCAGGCCCCAGCGCCCGCCATGGCGGGGCCCTCCCGTGTCCGTGTTCCGCGGGCTGCGGAGCCTCTCCTGTGGCAGAAATTCCTTTGGGAATTTGGGTCTGTGTGTCCCGGGCTGCGGAGCCTCTCCTTTGGGAAATCCCTTTGGGTGCCGGAGCTGCACCTCCGGAGCTGTTGGCGCTTCATCTCCCGACACTTGGAATAAAAGCGGCATTAGGGAACGCTCCGGGCTTGCTCTCTTGCGGTACTGCCGGCGGCCACGAACTAATAACTATAGACTAGAGACATCCATTGTTTATTTCTGAGCTGTACAAACCTGGCTGCTCGGTGGTGTTCCAAAAATCATGGACTGAATGCTCACTGGTTACTGGTTATTAACTCTTGTTAATCGCTATTCTCTATTGTTTAATGACTCTCTTCTCATGCTGCTCAGGCTTTCTCTCGCTCTGAGGTGGGCTCTCAGCTGCTGGTTGTGATCTGTCCACAAGCATATATATATAATTATTATAAATATAATTATTATAAATATATAATAATATATATATTTTTTAATATATATATATAAAATCCGCTTTAACTTCTACAACACAGGCATGTTTGTATCCTGCATTACCAACCTCCTTCCTGATGCACTGGTTTCAGAATTAAAGACTACAGTAATAACAAATTGCTTCATTGGCATCAGTGAGCAGAAGCACAGCCTACAGTGCCTTCAGTATTTGTCATACATTCAACATGCAACACAGTGATTGCTTTGTACCTTATGGGACAAAAATACACCCAGAAGCTGTAAAGAAGAATTTCCTGTAGTGTTCTGGCAGATTAGATGCTGGCAAGACATAATCTTTTAAACAGGATTTTTATCTCACCTTCTGGCACTTTAAATATGCCCATTCTCACAGTGTTAAAGATATCCCATGTGCCAGGACATGACCCTGGATAAAACCAATTACTCCCTCATAAATTCCTGCAGATATGTTCACTGAGGTCTCTCTTTCCAGTTCTTCCTTTTGGAAGTAATTGTGTCATGTAGAGAATTAAACCCTCTTTTATATTTATGCACTGGGTGATGTAATGGAAATGGCACTTTCTGTGCATCACTTACCAAAGAGAAGGAATTTGCCTTGTACGGATTTGTTACCCAGGCAGTGAAATGGCTGTTTAGTCACTGCACCTTGTGGCACTGGGACAGCTGCTCAGTGCCAGCAGTGTGAGCAGGGCTGGGCTTTCTTCTCTTGTGCCAGTGGGAATTGCTTTATGCACTGACCAGCCTCTCACAATGCTGCACAGAATAAAAAAGATGAAAAAAAAGCAATATACAGTCCTGGAAGCTAGTTCCTGAAGTTCAGCTTAAAGATTAAACTCACAGAGGATGAATTTCCTCCTTCTTGAGAGTTACTGCACTAATTTTCTTCCTATCCTGTCAAAAAAAATGGATATAAGAATTTCTAAAAGGGTCTAAACTGTCTTGGAGCAAAAACTGCATTTAGTATCGCACTGTGCTCCCGTGAGACACATACCAGGTCTGTCCTGCACTGGAATACTTTCAGCAGAGTGATGTTAACAGCTATTCCTTTGCTGTCTCAGGGCACAGAAAACAGCTCCAGCATATCTGATAACTGATTTGGATCAGGATTAGTCATCGATTTGTGAACACCACTGGGAGGGGCACAATGCAGGCTGATAATGAACCATAGAAGGGCAGGCTTCCTGCTCCAATAAAGGAGGAATTGTGCACTCTAATGCCAGCAGACAAAAATTCCAGAGGAGATGTGATTTTGATTAGGGGTTTCCCCGTCTCTGAATAATAGCCAAATCTCAATCTAGTTAATTTGTATTTGCAAGACTGATAATTTTAAACAACCGATAACATAAAACCCTGGGGTTTTTTTTGCCTGGCTCATTGCTTACAAGTCTCTAATGCTTTAAAGTCACTCCCCAGTGCACATTTTTCCCATTGTAAAAGCAATATCAAACAAGTGCATCTCACTGCTTTGGCTCTTCCTTGGCAGGAACTTCAGATATGCAGGGAGGAAGCAGAATAGATTCTCCATGGAAACCTGGAGTTTGCTTTTGTACATCTTGGGGGCTGATGACTGGATCCTGTTTCAGCAAGGTCTCATGAAAGATGCCAGTCCAAGGCCATCAGCAGCATCCACGAGGCCATGAGGATGCACACCTTGCCAGAGTGCAGATGCTTTAGTACCAAAGTGGTTTTAGGGTTTCTGCCAAAAACCTGTTTCTCCTCAGCCAGGCAGCAGTGACTGGCACACCATCTCCTAGGTGGCCATTCCTTAGTTTTGTGGCAGCAGAATCAAAGTTCCCTTTGCAAATGCTACCCCTGCAGTTCCAGCCTGTCTGTGTCATGGTCTAACCCCAGCCAGCAAGAGTTGCTGCAAGAGTGGATCTCTGGGACCAGAGATCAGATGCCAAGGAGACAAAGACAATAGAAATCTCTGCTAATCTAGAGGTGCTGTACAACTGCTGAAAGCAGGCAGCTTTCAGTAATTTGGAATCTTCAGTGGGTATTTAATAATACACCTGCTCATTGATTTGGGGTAAGAAACGCTCCTGCCCTGGTCACTGTGCTTTCTCCTCCTCTCTGTCTCTCCCTCTCTTTTTTCAGTCCATTTGTCTCACATTTGTCTGATCACTTGTTTTCTTCAGGAGTTCCAGGTACTTGACTCATTATTTAGGCATAAGCATCAGTTTTATGGAGGTGGTGGTGACATGTGAATCCAGGTGTTTTCATTATTGGGGATATTCATGACAGAGCTGCAGCAGCTGTGGTGATGCTGCACCCACATCACTGTGTGATGTGGCATCGGGTGAAACCCTTGCTGCCTCTTCCCAATAAAAAATGATACCAAAAATGATACCGACGTTCATATCTAAAGCACTTGCTGGTTGCTCTGCCTGGCTACTCCTTCACTTGTCACCTGGATGAGAGGGTGCACTGGGGAATCCTGCAGGAGCAGCAGCTGCAGTTAGGCTGGGCACTCCTGTCTGCAAACCTCCCCTTCCAAGGGCTCCTGCCACATGGCAGCAGGAAATGTGGCTGCACGCTGCTGCTGGCAGGCTCAGCTCCCTGCCTCTGGCTGGAGCATGAGCGGAGACAGCAGAAAACAGAAGAGGAAACTTTGATCCTGGTCAGGAAGGCAGAAACTCTGTACAGGACCAAAGCATTCACTACCAGCACTAAACCTACGAGCTGGAACCTCTGAGTTGGAATTTCTCCTTTGACTGTGTGGGGTCTTTGTTTTCCATCTCTAAAAATGTTGTGCTGAGAGAAGTAAGAGCAGTGTTTGTCATGGAGTCGCTCCGTGAGGAACTTTCAGCTGTGTGCTGTCTGCCAGGGTAACAGGTTATTTATTGGCCTGCAGTATCTCAAGTTTTGCAATGACTACAGGACCCACATTGCCCATTCTTGAGTTGTTAAATAAGCTCCAGCAGTCCATGCTGGGAGCTCAGGTGACTCAGGGCTGGCAGGAAAAGCCAGCTGAAAGTTCTGCGCTCACTTGGCTGTGCCTCTTTCCTGTGCTGGTGGCAAGGATGATCCTGCCACAAAGTTCCCCATCCTTTGGGCTGCACTCCTGCACTGTCCTGTTCCCTGGCAGCCCAGCACCTCACCTTCACTTCCTTCCCATCTGCATGACTTGTCTGAGCAGCACCCAGCTTGATTTATGGATCAGAGGCTTATTCATGAGACACAAATAAACTGAAGCACCGAGCAAAAAGTCAAATCTCATGCTGGTTGCCTGCAGTAGTAGCACAAAATTAAGGGTCTGGAGTGCTCAGAGCTGGTACTGGGGGACTGCTTCTCTCCCAGCAACAATGAGAACCAGCCTGCCTTGTCTTCCTGAGGAGGAGCCCAGTGTTTTCCCAGAAGTCACTCAAGGTCCATAGAAATCAGTCCTAATAAGAGTGACGTGTTGCCAGGGACTGGGACATCTCTAGAGAATGTCAAGAAGCCAAAGGGTACATTGTGAACAAAAGAGATGAGAAGTTATGGCTCAGAAATTAGATGCTTTCAGGCAGAAAATGAATGTTCATTTTGCTTGTGAGGACTTTAAAAAAATTAAAGCATACTGTCATCTCCTCTTTAAACTACATTTCTAGAAAACAGGTGATGAGATTTTCTTTTTTTTCCTCCCTGACAAGTCAGAGAATAAAGAAATTTAAAATTAATGCAACACTCAAAAAATTAAAAAAAAAAAAAAATAAAAAAGAAGCTCTCTGCCAATCCTGTGAGCTGGTGGAGGTGACCTGGGCCGGGGCAGCTGAGCTGGTTTGTGTCAGGGTCTGAAACACAGAACAAACAAAGGCAGAATAGCTGTCAGACAGGTCTGAACTCCGTCCTCGGACACCCCAGCATACTGAGGGGGAATCTCAGCCCCTTCTCTCCGGGTGTGGTAGGCAAGCATGAGCACGCTGTCACAGAGGATCTGCAAAGCTGCTCTGCCTGTGAGGAAAGGCTGAGAGAGCTGGGGCTGTTCAGCCTGGAGCTGAAGGGGCTCCAGGGAGAATTTTTTGTGTGGCTTTTCAATACCTAAAGGAGCCTTAGAAGAAGGACAGGGGCAAACTTTTTAGTAGAGCAATTTAAAAAAATTGCAATAGAATGTGGGATAATGGTTTAAAACAAAAAGAAGGTAGATTTAGGCTAGGTATAAGATATAGTTTTTTCTAATGAAAATGATAAAATGCTGGAACATGTTGCCAAGGGAGGTGTCCCATCCCTGGGAACATTCAGTGTCAGGTAGGATGGGGCTCTCAGCGAACTGGTCTAGTTGAAGATGTCCCTTCTAATCACAGGGGGATTGGACTAGATGACCTTTAAAAGGTGCTTATCTGTCGGAATCTGTGGG